GCACTATTACAGATGCTCCTCTAGCCCAGACTAACTCATTTTCAGCCTTATGCAAATAGCTCTGCTTTAGGATTTTGGACACTTGGTCCATTAGTTAACTGTGGCTGCTGTAACAAACTTGGTGGGTTAAAACAAGAGAACTTTGTTTCCTCCCAGTTCTGGAAGTGAGAAGTTTGAAGTCAGAAATCACTAGGTAGAAATCAAGATACCTGCCTGGCAAGCACTCCCTCCATAGGCTCTGGGAAAGAACACATTCCTTGCGTAGGCCTCAGGCTTCCGGGGGCTGCCAGCATCCCTTGACTGTGGCCTCAACATTCCACTTTACAAGGTTGCCATCTTCAAATATCCTTCTGTTCTGTCTTTGCATTGTCTTCTTTGTGTGGGCACAATCTCCCTCTGCCTCCCTTTTATAAGGGATACATGTGATTACATTTAGGGCCCACCTAGATAATCCAGGATTATCTCTCTATCAAAATCCTTAACTTTTTCTTTAAGTTTATTTATTTTGACAGAGAGAGAGAGAGAGAGGGAAAGAGAGAGAGAGAGAGAATAGGGGAGGGGCAGAGAGAGAGGGAGAGAGAGAGAATCCCAAGCAGGCTCCACACTGTCAGCACAGAGACCAATGCGGAGCTCAAACTCACGAAGCATGAGATCATGATCTGAGCCCAACTCAGATGCTTAACTAAGACACCCAGGTGCCCCCCAAAATCCTTAACTTCATCACATCTGCAAAGACCCTTTCTTCAAATAAGATAACATTTACAGGTTCCAGGGAGTGGGTCCTGATATCTTTGGAGGCCAGTATTTAGCTGAGTATTACCAAACTGAGTATTACCAAAAGAATAGAGCAGGCAGCAGTGATTGTAAGAAACCTCAGACTGTCTCTATCACTATGAGGATACTTGCTGCACAGATCTGTGTTATTGTGGTGTAATGCCTGCAGTTACGTATGAGATATTATTGACATTGCACAAGTTCTCAAATCTGTTGAATTTAAATCAAAATCTGAGCTGCCCGACAGCTGTCAGAATGGAACTGTCTATCTTGGGAGAGATCTGCATTATCTGTGTTGAGAGGGTGGAAGCCTCCTTTCTCCTTATCATGTGACCTTAGCTCTACCAACCACTCTGCCTTGTTGTCAAACCCAATCTGTGTAAGGAAATCCACGAGGGAATTAGCATACATGGGTGAGGTTGGTTTGGGTAATAGAGATATTGATGGGTCAAGGCTGGGTATTGGCAGAAGAGTTGGGATTGGAGCCTTGGATTTATTACCATTTTCTTTACCACTCTGATGCTTAACACATGGTTCTTGGGTCCCTAGAATACTACCTGAGGTAATATTTAGGGCTGGCCCTAAACATGGTTTATTCCTGCTTGTTGCCCACACATTGAGCCTCAAGTCTGCTGTGAAACCAGTCTACAGGCTCCCCCTAAGGCAGAGAGCTCTACCTCTATAAGGCTGAGTTAAATCTTCATATGTGGAAACATATGGAATTGTTGTCTGAACAATTTTCAAGGCAACATAATGCTTTCAACACATTTGAAAACTATCATTTCTTGATTTGTTCTATAGTAATATCCATATATCCCATATCCTTATTACAATGCAGACCTGGGACTAGGGTAAGGCAAGTGAGGAACTCCCTTTGGGTGCAAAATTTAGGGGGTAACAAAAATCTCAGGAATCAAGTAACATTTTAAATGTGGTATTTTAAAAATATCAAATGAGAAAATTATGGCCCACAGACTTAGCCACCTATTTTTGTAAATAAAATTTTATTGGAACTAGGGCCAGGATCAGGGTACCAGTGAGACAGTCATGCAAGTAGAGGTTGAATCTTATTTTTTAAAATACTGATACTTTGTTCATCAAGGATTTTTTTTGCATTATTTTCATTTTTGAATGAAAATTTGAATAACTTTAAAATAATTGTGATTTTCTAAATGAATTTTTTTATTAAACAAATTTTAGGGGCACTTTGATGGCTCAGTCAATTATGCGTCTGACTTTGGCTTAGATCATGACGTCACAGTTTGTGAATTCTAGCCCTGCATTGGGCTGTCTCCTGTCAGCACAGAGCCCGCTTCAGATTCCCTGTCCCTTTTCTCTCTCTCTGCCCCTTCCCCATGCTTTCTCTTTCTCTCAAAAATAAACAGACATTTAAAAAAAATTTTAACCCAATTTTTTTTCCAAGACAAGCATTTTTATTCAAGATAACTGTTACACTTGAGTATGGCACAGAAGTGCTTTATGCCATTTTGTCACAGAGAATATTAAAAAGATGTATTTAAGAATCAAGATTTAATAAAATTCAATAAAATTAATAATTTTTACTACTTTATCAAGGATATTATGTTGAAATTGACTTCTTTTTTTAGTATGGGTACATGGTGGCCAGAATCTTTACTCGCCATTACTTTTGTACCATACAAATTCAAATGCAGTGAAAAAGGCAATCTTAGAATTATTATGAAAATAATTTGACCCCAAGGACCCTTTGAGAGACTTTTGGGCAATCCCAGTGATCTATAAACCACACTTTGAGAACTGCTGCATTAAAGGATAAGGTTTTAAAAATATGTCAAAAGCACTATCAATGGCAAGCTAAGATCCTCAGTCAGATGGAGGCAACGTAATTAGGACTAACCCCAGAGTTAGTTTTGCAAAAAATAAGTGGTGAAGAGTTGCAGCAAACTGACCATCTATACGACCATCATTTACATAATTCTGAACCACCAAGAAATCTTTGAGGCTAACGGTAAGGTATGAACAAGATGTGAGCAAATCTGAATGCCATGAATACAGCAGTGACCTGAAAGCAGGGCCATTTTGGGGCAAGTGAGTAGAGAAACACCATTGCACCTATCCTCAACTCCCCAGCCTCCCAGAATGAGGGAGCAGAGAAAACCATACCAGGAACAGCAGGACATGGGAGCAAATTAAGTCATGGCGCATCCCTGGACTGTTCCAAGATCCTGGGGCCAGTCTGCCTGGCTTTGAAGCTCTCCCCTGCCACTTGCCAGCATACAACCTTGGGCAAATTCCTAAACCACTGTCTGTCTCAGTCTCTTCATGTCCAATATAATGTTAATGCTTTCCTCATATGATTGCTGTTAAGAGGTGCATTAAGATGATGTAGTTAAGACACTGAGCACGGTGCCCAAGAAAGTATTTGGTAAATATATCTTATTAAAATAAGGAACATATTTCTGTACTGATTCACTCCCCAATGTCGGGTAACTCTTCCCCACATGCATAAATGCTTAATCAGCCCACTGTTTTGCCAGCATTAGGTGTTCAGTAGAGGTTACTTCCTCCCACCAGCAAGACTGGGAAGCCTGTCTGGACCTGTCATTTCATCCTTGCTGCTCTGAGTGTCATGGCTCTCTCACCAATGATTCACTGAGAAATCTGATGTTTAAATGTGAAAAGGTATAGGGGCGCCTGGGTGGCGCAGTCGGTTAAGCGTCCGACTTCAGCCAGGTCACGATCTCGCGGTCCGTGAGTTCGAGCCCCGCATCAGGCTCTGGGCTGATGGCTCAGAGCCTGGAGCCTGTTTCTTATTCTGTGTCTCCCTCTCTCTCTGCTCCTCCCCCGTTCATGCTCTGTCTCTCTCTGTCCCAAAAATAAATAAACGTTGAAAAAAAAAATTTAAAAAAAAAAAATAAATGTGAAAAGGTATATATAACATGCGAATTGGTATGTAAAAATTGAAGTATTTATTATATAAAATTAGGTTTTATATTTTCTTAAAATCGTTTTATTGGTGCTGAAAACATGTTTGAAAACAAAAAGGATTATTTTTAAAAATTAAAACTAGCAAAACATTTAAGCCACCAACAAAAATAATATCAACCATGCTTTTTTCTAGTAGGGCTCTATGGTAGGCAACATAATGCCCCCCACCCCTGCAAAGATATCCACATCCTTCCCCAGAACTGTGAATATGTCACCTTACATGGCAAAAGGGACTTCGCAGATATGATTAAATTAAGGGCCCTGGGATGGGGAGATTATCCTGGATTATCCTGGTGGGCCCAATGTAGTCATAGGGTCCTTAAAAGCGGAAGAGATGGGCAGAAGTCAATCAGTTAGAGATGTGACTACAGAAGAAAGGCACAGAGAGCTGCAACATTGCTGGCTTTGGAGACAGAGGAAGGTACCATGTGCCAAGGAATGTGGGCAGCATCCAAAAGCTAGAAAGAGCAAGGAAACAGATTTCCTGGTTTCCCCAGAACCTCCTGGAAGGAATGCAGCCTTGCCAACACCTTGAATTAGCCCAGTGATGCCCATTTGGACTTCTGAATTACAGAAACATAAGATAATAAAGTTTATGTTGTTTAAACCACTAGGTTTATGGTAGTTTGCTATGCAGCAAACAGAAAACTAAGATAGTCACAAAGGTTATCCAATCAGTGCTGGTATGCTTTGGTACACAATCAAATAAGCAGCCAGGTCACCAGGATGGGGACTAACAACTCCTCTGGCTTCACTAAGCTCCCCAGTGCAGCTTCTCGCTGTTTAAATGCCACAAAAATAAGAGAATTATCATTAACAGCAGTCCCTACCCCTGAAGATTTAGATTCAACAGGTCTGGGACACAAGAATATCCATATGTAACTAGTGACTCTATTAGAAATTGATGGTGGTCCATGCTCTGAAAGGCATTCACTTCTGCTTGTAAGGAGCTTACAATTTAGGTGCTGGGTAAATATAATTGCAATACCTAATAGAGAGATAAGTAAATATTCATTCTTCCAAAGACAAGTTAACAGCCAGGGACAAGTATAAAAAGCAAGAAATGGCCCAGAACACATTAATCCTTCCATATGCTTTGTTAACAAAAACTAGTTGTAGAATTAAGTCAGATGAGATCTCTGCCAGCTCTTTTGTATGGCCAGTGCCAGAGGGCTCTGGTAAACCAGCACCCTGGCAGCCCCCACCCACTTCTCCCCGGTGAGCATAGACATAAGTCAGAACCCTTCGCAGCCTCCCACCTGTCTCCCTTGTTTCCTTATGAGGTGGTGACGTGCTGGCCCAGGGTGTGTCATCTTCAAACTGAACCCAGTTGCTGAAGGCCGAGGCCAGGTCAGGTGGGGGCTGCTCGGGGCTCCCAGGAGGTGACGCCGCTTCAGAGATGAGGCCCAACTTTTCAGAGGAGTCATCCTGCTCTGAGTGGGAAAGTTCCTGAGAGCCTCCATGTGCCACATGGTTCTCCCCGGAGGAGCTCTCAGACCGGTCTGAGTAAGAAGACAGTCCTGGGAGGTGCTCTTCAGTGCCCCCTGAAACAGATACCAGACACTGCCATCAATCATGTGAGGGAGGCCCCTCTTCAAAACTGTCTCGTGGAGGAAAAACCAAGGATAGGTAAGGGGTGATCACAAGACTCACCATTCTGGTGGGTGAGGGTGAAGAAACAGCCATGCCCATCTGTCTCTATGCCCAAGGAGTGTTTCCCTAATAATGGGTACAAAGGATAACCTCTGCATGTCCACAGTCAGTATTCAGGCAGGCTGAGACTTCCAGTCTTACTATTCTGACCCCAGTGCCTATTCCAGTGCTTGGCAGTCACAAACAAAAATGTTTATAGAGGCCAAACAGGAATATAACTGAGTCGAATGAGGAAAGCAAAAGGCAACAAGGACTGGTAGACACTGACAGTGAACAAGAAAGCATCCGTCTGGACTGAACACCTTGAAATTCAAACTTTAACCTCTGTGCAGTTGAAACTACACGTCTGCAGACCGCCAGGTGCAAACTCCATACCAATGATAAGCTGAATGAGGCCCAGAAGCTCTCCCCTAGCTTTCTAGCACTTTATTGGTGCGGGAACACTTCACAGCCTTCAAAAAAAATTTTTTTTCTTAAAGAACTATGTCCTAATTGTGGCGGTGGTTACACAAATCTATACACGTGTTAATCAAATGTGTACCAAAAGTAGTCAAGCTCTATTACATGAAAACTTTTTAAAAATCAAAGAATATAAAACTTTTTTCTCTCATCCTTCGCCAAACTAGTCCATCTGCATGTGACCAAACCCTTTAGACTAGTGCTGCCCAAGAGAAATAAAAGGTGAACTACATATGTAATTTAAAATTTTTTAGTAGCCACATTAAAAAAAGTAAAAAGAAAGAGGTTAACTACATTTACTAATATAAATTTCAACTCAGTGTCTTGAAAATGTATGATTCTAACAGGTCATTAATATAAACGTTATTAATGAAATATTTACTTTCGCTAGGTCTTTGAAATTCAATGTGGGTATTTTATACTTCAAACACATTTCAATTTGGACTCGCCACATTTCAAGGACTCAAGAGCCACGTGGCTCCATCCTGGAGAGCTCACCTGTACACTCACACTTTCCAGGTGCTGTAAGTGAAGCTGGGTGGATACCAGTTGACAGCAGCAGCTGCAGTGGAACAGAACCAGCTGACAAGGCTCTGCAAATATCTCCTGACCCCTACCTTGACCTTCATCCCTGAGCACCAGTTCCCTGGAAGTCATTTAGCCATCTTTATCACGATCATGGATGACAATTAACTGAGCTCTTTCCATGTGCCAGGAACTGGTCTAAGTCCTTTACATATATTAATTCATTTAACCCTCACAGCCACCCCGAGGAAGCGACTGTGATTACCCCTACTGCTCAGATAAACTACCGCTCAAAGAAGTTGAATAAACAATCTACCCAAGGGCACATCACTTATTTGTGACAGAGCCAGGATTTGGGCCCAAGCAGTCTGGCTCTAACGCCTGTCACTCTCTGCAACTACGCTTTAGAAACTGAGGAAATCCAAATTGCTGGTGGGAGGAACACCCTAAAAGGCCAAGTGTAGAGTGGTTTGTAAATACGAAGTTTATGCTCCTTGGAAGAAAGCAGCCAATACTTTTGCTGTTTCCAGACCCTTTTGTTTGGGATTCTAAGGTTCCTAAGGCTTCTAAGAAGGCTTCTAAGTGGAAGAATCTGCACCTCAGGAAGGTGACACACTGGCTCTTTTGTACATATTAAGATCCCACCCAAAGAATGATCAAGTAGAAGTCATTGTAAACAGTTATGGTTCTTTGCTAATCTTTTCACCTAAGAAATGAAAGTGTTCCTTACCCTCAGAAGGAACAGGAAAGAGTGGCTCCTCATTGAAGGAGACCCACTCTGACTGGTGGGTAGCAATCACATGGTCCAAGGAAGTCATGCTAGGAAGGCACTGGTCATCTTCACACTGATGGCCTCGGGCAGACCCCAGAGTAATGTCTGGGGTGGGGTATGGTGGCACACTGGACTTGGGCCTCAGCTCTGTTATGAGGGTCTTGTAGACAGCGGCACTCAGAACATAGATAGATTGGCCCTTCTTGTCTGGCTAATCTGCCAAGCAGAAATCTGTGTAAAAAAATAACAAAAGTTAAAATGACAACTGTCACCTTATATCCAATACACACAGGTCCAGGGTTTTCAACATTGCCCACAGGGGGGTCTGGAGAGTTTCCAACTTGTATTCCTTCTCTCTGCCCTGTCTTGTCCCCAGTTCTCATACAAGTAAAACCTTGGTTTGTGAGCAGAATTTGTTCTGGAAACATGCTTGTATTCCAAAGAACTTGTCTATCAAAACAAATTTCAAGATCCGTTGGCTCAGTTGTGATCATGTGACGTTTGGTGTCACATACTACTTGTATTACAAGACATCGATTGTTCATCGAGTTAAAATTTATTAGAAATGTTTGTTTATCTTGCGGAACACTCACAGAACAAGTTACTCGTGATCCAAGGTTTTACTGTATCTGCCTTTAGCATCAAGATCTCTGTACGTGACTTCATATCAGATTTGCAAATAATCACGCAAATTTTAGCAATTAGATTCCCAAATTTCCCCAATTATCATATTTTAGACATACTTTTATTTGTAATATAATGCCATTATGGTAAAACAAAAGTTAAAACTTTTCAAAGTACTTTCACTTTCTTTTACAGGACAGTAAAATAAAAGCCTGTTTTTTCCTATTAAATCAATGCAGTTTCTTGCCTTAGGCAGGTAGCTTTTTAGCAGGCCTGATTTAAATTCTTGGCAGAAACCCAACCATCTCCAGATGGTACCTCCAAGCATGGTTTACCAATCAAGAAAAACAGAAATGGAGTCATCTTTTTCATTTGGAGTAAAGGGGGAGGGAATATTTGCTTTAGTGAAACATGTGAGTTAAAGAAACATATTTTCAATCTAGCCCATTTTCAATCTACTATGAAATAGTACATAAAAGTCTAGCCTTTACTCACATTGCAATTATGTTCTATGTATATAGAACTTAATAGACTTAATAGACTTATAATTCTGTTTGTACTATTAATGTCCATTTACAACTTGAACCTAGCTCTTGCTCTCATAATAAATTAATGAAATCTGAATTAATGCAAAATTAATGTGTTTCCACAAAAGAGTTACCATCTGCCCTGAACACTACCAGTTCTTATTAATGGAATATTCACAATATTCATTTTAGTCTAGGACAATTTAACTCACAGTCTTCTGACTGTTGTATAACACAAAGAACATGTTGAGGAAATTTTAGTGTAGATTATTATCTGCTATAAATCATCTATGCTGGGCTTAATCTGAATAGAAATATGTAATAGTTTTTGCCTTTTTTGGTAACTAAAACAGTTTTGCTGTACAATACTCCCTAAAAATAACTGCTTGCAGACATTTATAATTTTCAGAAACATATTTTCATACCATACCTCATTTGATTTGATAGCCATTTTAGTTGAGTAAGATATTTAACTATATATTCCTTTACAGATGAAGAAATTTGGGGTGAGAGGAGTGACTTATCCAACAGTTTTGTTGTTTCCAGGCCTTTGTTTGGTGCCCTAAGATGTTTCTTCCAGGATTCCAAGTGGAAAAATTCACACATCCCAGGACAGTGACAAATGGACTCTTTTTTTTCCTCTATAAGATCCCATCCACAGAATGATCAATTAGAGGCCATATTAAGCAGGTGTGTTCAATGCACCAAGCTATCAATGACACCCTTAAACCTGGGTCTTCTGGTGCCAAAACACTCTGATCTTTGGGTCAAAGCCACAAAAACAGTACTAGAATATATGCAGACTATCGTCCAACTAAAGCACTTTACAAACATCAATGGCAATGGAACCATAATGAAATGATCAGTGGAACTTCCCATGTGGAAATCTGCCAGGGCATCCCAGCTGTACAGAAAATGGAAAGCCTGGAAATCTCTCTTCCAAGTCCCTCTCCTAAGATTCTTACCAACCACAAGACCAGACGTGTGCAAACAGCCCAGAGAGTGCAATGCTCCAAACCCGGATCTCACCAGAAAACCACGCAGAAGCCCAAAGACCTTAAGAGCTGACACCAGCAGGCTTCTCCCATAAAGCCTTTCTCAAGTGCCATCAGACATCAGCGTCACTCAGTGTGGTAATGGCTGCAGGCCACGATAAGACAGCAAAATTGAAGAGTCAGACTCCTCCTCTCCCAATAACAGCAGTATGTAAACCAGATCCAACAGCAACAAAAAAGCCACAATACAAATGCATGTGCTGACACATGCAGCATCATAGCTCAATGGGGAAAACATCCTCCTGACCCCGTGATGATGAATCCAGCGAAATTCACAGATGAGTGTGGGTGGGGGATGGGACAAGGGAAGAGGAAAAGGAAAAGGGTGAGGGTAATGGGAAAAAAATACCTAGAAATTGTAGAGCTCAAAGGTTTTAAAGACCAACAGTCCAGCTCTCAAGTTCACAGATGAGTAAACTGAGGTCCAAGGAAATCAAATGTAGCAACAGAGAATAAAAGCATGGGCCTGGGATTTGAATCCTCTGCAGCTTTTAAGACTCATTTTACCTCTGTACAGAAGGAATAACAAAATTCACTTCATAATTTTAAGGATTAAGAGAGATAATACATACTGAGTGCTTAGTACTGGGAGTAATAAGCACTCTGTAACAATGACAATGATAATAGCAGGTGACCTTACAGAGGGCTTACTATATGCCTGCCAGGCCCCATTCCACACACCTTATAAATGTCAGCTATAATCACTGCTGTTATTAAATTACTTGCCAGAAGTTACACAGCTCGTTAGTAGAAGTCTTGGGACTAGAATACAAATTCATGAAACCACCCTTTTCTGTCACTTACACATTCTGGCTTTAGTCATTTCTCTTTTCAATCATTTTTAGAGAAGTTCTCCCAGATGTTAAGCAGAGTCAAGCACTCAACCTCCACTTTAGAGATACAAGCACACTTTGGCTGAGGAATCAAGACCACTACTCAGAAAGTATGAATGAAAGAAGAGTCCCAAGGATTTATCTACCCTTCCTTAGCTTGCCCATCTCAGATCTAGATACAAGCTGGTTGTTGATATTAAGCAGTCCCAAGAAAGCCTGGTGGAACAAATTTGTTACAGGGAACCCTTTATCATAACCCAGTGAAATGGATTCTAGCTATCTGCCACGAAACAGCCACATCTAATAAATCATGAGATGCTAGGCCTTGCGGGTGCTGTGCTAGCAGCTAGAAACCACAGAGGAACCCAATAATTGTGAGGCTAAGTTCACACTAGAATTGGTTTCTCTATAAAAACCTCACCCCATTTTTAGAATGTGAATCATAAAGTTAGGCTGAAAATCACCACAAATGGTAGTGACTCAGTATCAGCAGCAGGACTGACCAAGAGACACTGCAAATTTCATTGCAGTCTCTGGCTTGCCACTTCAGAGAACAGCTTCTTTCTCGGCGGCCTTACACACTAAAATCTGGGGGTGGAGAACAGTTGGCTGAAAAGATGGGAGTTGCAGAAATAGATCTATCTTGTGCCAATCCTCTAATACATATTCATGAGTCCTATGTGTTTGGAAATGTACTAAGCACCCTTTGAAACAGTGACCCACAAGCAGCTTGCAATCTAGCTGGAGACACAGAAGAGCAAACACAACAAATCCAGGAATAATCCTGCTGGAGGACACACCAAAAATGCTGCTCAGCCACTTAGAGATCTCCAAGGGCTGGAGCCATAAAGAATTGAGCAGATTTCTTGGATCTGAAGGACATCCTTGGTTCTGGGCCACCGGAAGGGAGGAGTAAGGATATTTGAGGGCATCCCCGGGACAAAGGATCACCATTAAGTGAAGATTAAGTCAGACCTTTGTGGGCTTGTTTCTAGGTGGGTGAAGAGGTCAGTCTGATGAGAGCTGAGGTGTTTACTGGGGAAATGTGGGGAGAGAGAATTGGTAGCCTTAACAGCTGAGGAGAAGAATTCAGTGGGAAATGTTAAGTTGCCAAAGGTTTGGGTGGAGAGTGACCGAAGAAATGTACCTACAGGAGATGAATGCTCCTTGGACCACACTGACAAGGAGCTTGGAGATGAAAGCTATTGGTCACAACAGGACCTCAGTGTGCCTGGCAAAGTAAAGGGGCAGCATCATCAGAAACATGTACTGAGTTCTCTGTGCTGGGCCCATTTTAGGGCCTGAGTGTACAAGGAAAAACAAGAACTGGCCTCAAGTAGTTCAAAGCAGATGGCAGGGGGGTATGGCGGCAACATAAAACACTAATACAGTAGGCTCTCTAACCTATTATGACAGGTGATCCCTCAAAACAATGACAGCAGAGCATAAAGGTATTAAGAGACTACTGAACAGTAGGTGGTCATGAGCTACACCTTAAACTGGAAGGGAGGGCTCTTAGCAAGACAGCAGAGGGCAAAGGCATTTTAGGAAGGGGGAACAGGACTGGTATGTCTAGTTGACAGTGAGTTACATTCTGTTTACAGGCGATGGTAGGAGTGGTGTTGAGTGCACTGGAAAAGGAGGGGCTGGAATAGTGACAGTTCTCAATCTTTGAGTTTGAACACATCAAACTACCCTTCCCATTCCCACTGCCAGTGCCTTGATTCATCCCCTTATTGTCTCTCATCCAGATAATCACCAGTGTCTTACCTGTTTCCCTGCCTTCATGGTCACACCCCTCCAACCTATTACCCAATGTATTATGCCAGAGTACTCTTCTTAAAACCTGAAATGTCCATGCCATGGCTCTGCTTACAAACTCCTCAATGGCCCTCATAGCCACAAACTCCTTCTCTCCTTATGGTTAGCCAGAGTTGGTTTCGGTTGCTTATAATCAAGAACTCTGATATATGGTACCTTTCCCTGACTTCCACTAATTCCACTTGTCCCTATCTTCTATGTGCTGATGGTATCTTACTTACACTAATTTACCAAATTATAATGAAATTACTTGCTAATGTGGGTCTCATGCCAATTAGCCTGTATGTTCCCTGGAAAAGGGGA